TCTGTGAAACATAAACTTTTCATACAGCAAGGCTGCACTTGTGGTCTTGAGAACTGTACTGAATTCCTCTGGGTCTCAATTTCTTCAATGGAGACATTCTTCTAAAGACAGGAAGAATAATGTACTACCAAAAGGGAACTAGAGAAATAGCCCTTATATTTCCTGTGCCTACTTCAGTTTGGGGAACTGAGTTCTAGAGCCAACAACCAGCTACTTTTACCCCTCTCCATCCCATTGTCCCTTCATCTGCCCACTGGTTGTTTGTACTGCTCTACTTTACCAAAAAAAGTTTGTCAAAATGTTCACTATTCTCACCCTGAAATTGAAGTACCAAAGACTACATTAAAAAAAAAAAGTCCCAATTTCATGTTTAAAAATTATATTTCCATTTAACTTCTCCATGTGAAAAGATGAGTTTGGGCTATATAGCCAACTGCCAAAAGTATAGTGAGCAAAAAGTTAACAAATAGACCAAATTAGTTATACTTTCAGAACTCCAAAAAGTAAATACTCTATGAGATTAAAGAAAAGTAATTTTCTGCCACAGAACCCTGTACCACTGTCTCACTTTCAAGTCAAAAGGTACAATGCAATATTGCTTTTTATACAAAAGCTATATTCTTGCACATTGTATTATGCATAGCAGCCCTAAATTCCATTTAGTAAAGCAAACTGGTACTTCCTACATCAGGAGATAAAACATTCTGAGCTACTACTTACTGTCTATTGGCCATGCCTAACAGTTCAGTAGTTCTCTTTTTATGCAGTATCCCCTTCACACAGTAATGTTTTTCTATGGCAATTAGTAAGACATATGGAAAAGATAAAAATTAAAGCATGAATACTAGTTTCAAAAACTTAATTCAGCTGACATAAGGAAATTAATCAACAGATATGCTGAAACTGGTAGACGTCCTAGTCAGAAATTGGTCAAATGAGTATAAAAGAAAAATTAAAGAACATTTTGAATACTAGACACGAATCATTAATGATGAGGTACAAGAAGAAAATTCAGAATTTGGCATGTCCTGGGGACTATGCTATACGTATCTGCCTATATTTTGATATGACAGCTGCTATGGACTGAATGTTTATGTCTACCTTAAATTCCTATGCGGAAGCTCTAATCTTCAATGGAGGCAGAGGGCTCCTTGCAGCCCTCCTAACCTTATTTTTCAGAATATGGATGCTCAGGAGGGTGGAGCCCTCATGAATATGATTAGTGCTCTTAGACAAGAGATTTTTCTTTCCCTCCCACTCCCTCTCTGTGCCATGTGAAGTTACAAGAAGAGGCCTTTTTGCAAATTAGGAAAAGGGCCCTCACCAGGAACTGAATCTGCAGGTATCTTGATGTTGGACTTCCAGCATTCAGAACTATGAGAAACAAATGTTTCTTGTTTAAGAGATCCAGTCTATAGCATTTGTTATAGCAGCCAAGCAAAGACAATAGTTAACTTTAGATGTAGGACTTTAAGCAACTTACTAAATCTGTTAAATTTCTTATAGCATTATTATGCACATGACTTCAATATCTTCTTAACCATATTTTAAGAGCCCAAAAATCATTCACTTAAAACACTGACCTCACACTCTGGCCTCCCCTCCTCTCTTCACTTTTTGCATGAGCCAATTCTCAACCATAACACATGACTACAGTTGCTTTTTCTGCATCTGTGCCCAAATTGCAAAGCATTGCTTTAAAAAAAAAAAAAAAAAGACAAATTACAAATTCAGACCAACTCCTACTAAACCATCTTTTCCTCACTTGTCAATTCTTTAGTTTGTTGCCCCTCAAGGGCTATTCCAAGTCTCGTCATATTATTTTCAGAAGACAGAAGGTTTAATTATTAGATTCAACTAACTTGAAAACCCCTTACCAACTCAAGTTCAGCATTATTACACCATGATCAATTCATTGTGCTCTCTGAGCAGATCTACAGAGAAATTAAGAGTTCAACCTAAAGCCACACTGCCTGAACCCAGTTCTTGTTAAGCCGACTACTTTGTGTATATAGACAAATCACCAATTATCTGAGCCTTGGTTTTTTTCCTTTGTAAAATAGACATAATAGTAGTATTTGACAGATTGGGTTGGGAATCACTGGCTAAGCTAACACACATCAAAGTACTAGGCCTGTGCATACCACAGAGTAAACGTGAAGTAAGATTTAGTTATGATCAGTATTATTATTCCCTATAGAATCTCTAACAAATGTGAACATGCCTCTCTTCAAAACTTGCTTTTCCATCATTCCTAATTCCATAATCTTCCATATCTAAGAACTCAAGTGCTCCAATCTTCTAACCTTCAGTAACTTTAAGCAAAACACTTCACTCTACTTTTCTTCTTACTGTTGATGCCAAACTTCTTAACTGGTCTTCTTTATTCCCACAACTACTTACCACAGTCTGTTCCTGAACATTCACATTTTGGTTCTAAGTTCTTCATGCTCTGAAATCTAATACTTACTTCTCAACATATGCTACCAAATACCAAAACGCCACCATTTAGTTCTGAGTTCCTGCCCTAGGTCTGAACTTGTATATTTACAAACATGTATTTCTACTTCAGCATCTTATGATTCATACTTAGCTTTCCTCACATGTAAAATTATTCCAGCTTTCCTCACATGTAAAATTATTCCAACTATAATTATCAGAATAACCTATAACAAAACCTATCATTCTCCTCTATTCATTCAAAATCATTTTCCACTCTGACTCCACAATACAAACTTCTGGTGGCACCATAATTTTCACAGTAACCAAATTCTGCCCAATTATACTTCAGAATTTCTGACTTTATACATTCATTTCTAGACTATCACTTTACCAATTTTTTCCAGGTTTTCTCTGGACTCTAGTAAACATCCTCCTCCCAATGTTATATTTATGTCATACTCATTTTAGTCTTCAGATATTCTATCACATTGTCATCTACTTAAAAACCTCCAAAAACTGCACTGTTCAGTCCAAATTCTTTAGCCTGGCATTCAAATTTTTCATAATCTGTTCCTAAACTATCTTTCTAACACTATCATTCACTAATCTCCATAAATATTATGTACCTCAGTCAAATTCCACTTGCCATTTAAATGTAACCGGTCCATCTCTTTATAATCATATGCTATCTGCCACCCTAGGGGACTTTCACCATTGTTCATATATATCCCCAATTTTCTAAAGATAGTTTAACTTCTTCCTTTCCCATGAAATCTTATAGGCCAAGGTACTCATGTACCACATGACTATATGATGCCTACATGTATGTCACTCCTGGAGGGGACAGTATAATATCTCCTTGCATCTGCTATATTTTTTATTAAAAGCTTTGTATTAATAGGCACGTAACAAAAAATGTTGTTTGCATGAAAAACAAAATTACCTTGCTTCATAAAATACTAAACTATGTGGCTCATGTAACCCCACCCCCAAGAGAAAGGAAATATAGAAGAATTACAAGTTGCGATTTTGCAACCACTGTGGTAATAATGATTCAGGCAAGAATCATCAATGAATGCTGAAACCATCACATGAAGTTTCTGGGAAAATGAGATAGTCACATGGTCCCAAAATATAATTGAACAGATTACTTATGAATTACAAAGGGAAAAGTGGTACCTTCACAGTGAAGAAATCTGGCAGACGCCAAGTGATCAAAGTTAACATCACCAATAATGGCATAAACTGACATCATGTGCCTCCTGATGAGATGCACTGAGGACACAACATCACTTATGTATTATTCCTGCCAAAAATGCATAACCTGAAACTAGTCATGAGGAAAGAATCAGACAAACCAAAAACTGAGGGATGATCTACAAAACAACCAACCTATACTCTTCTGAAGTATAAACATGCTAAAACACAAAGAAAGGCTGAGAAATTCCATATGTGGTCCTGGATTCAATCCTAGACCAGATAGGAATTACTCTACAGGACATCACTGCCACACAGGACAATAGGTGAAATCTGAAATAGGCTGTATAACAGTACTATATTAATGTTAAACTATCTGATTTTGATTTCTAAGAGGATTTCCTTATTCTCAGGAGAAAGGTAACAAAAAACTTTACAGTAAATGAGATCTAAAACTTCAACTATTCAAAAACAATGACAATAATAATAATAACAAATAACAGAAAGACTCACAAAAATTGTGGCAAAATGTTAACAACTGGTATATCTAGGTAAAGGGTACACAGGAGATCGTGCCTTTTTTTTTTTTGTGGTAGCACTGGGGTTTGAACTCAGGGCCTCACACTTGCTAGGCAGATACTCTTACCATCTGAGCCACTCCGCCAGCCCAAGAGTTCATGTTGTGTTCACTGAGTACTACAACTTTTTCTATTTTAAAAATGAATGCCCTAATACCATATAAAAAGTGTAGGAAGTTTTTATATATTACATTTTATTTAACAGTCTTAAAGCAACACATTGTAGAAAAGATATTTCACAAATGAAATTATATTTTGTTTGCAGCTTGCTCTATAAAAATACTTATTCCAAAAAGTATATATCTTTTTGGAATGAAAGAACCATTTTATAATGGCAGCTCATTAATTTATCTTAAAATAATTCAAATCTACCTTAGCACTCAGTTAAATGAGTAAAGTTAGTTTCTACTAGTGAAAAGTCTGAGAATGTTTTTAAAATAATAGTTTTATTATTTTCAAATGTACAAAAAGATAAGCTAAAATGGCTAAAGCATTTTAAGAAATGCTTACCTGTAACATTAATAAGTATTTGTAAATTACTGAGCATTAACTTCATTATGATTATGTATTTGTCATCACAAACTTCATCTTCCCATAATAATTAAAAATTCTGATCTGGCTGATTATAAGTTTTTTAAAAATTTTATAGTACAGGCATGAATTAATAATTTTTACAGATTTCCTGGAGCCTTTAAAAAGAATACTATGGTCAAAGTACAATATGGTATAAAGGATTTTCTACAGTTAATACTGTATTAGCAATAGTCCTTTAAAGTTGGATACCTTATTTATGAGATGTTCTGTAACAACTTCTCTTAGTCCAGTGTAGAGCTTTTCTCCATGTTTATGCAAAACCATTGTATATGCATTTCTATACAGCTCCTCAAAACTAAGACCACTGTTATTCTTACGCTGGATTTCTTGAATTGCATTTTTCAGAAGGTCCCAAATGCTGTTTACGTATTTTTCATCCATGGTCATCTGTAATAACCAAGAGAGAGAAGAGACAAAAACACCAATGGTTGAAAATCTTTCTACATTTGTCCATATAGTAAATATTTTATAAATCTGCATGATTTATAAAGATGTTAACCTATTTTAACAGAAATAAAGGAATACATTTAAAAATACTTTTCTAGAGCTAACAGAAGCAATTCCTTTATCTTTTAAGACCTCTTTCTCCATTCTTACCTATAGAACTCTCCACCTGAAGTAAAATCACAATGGTCTATGTATCCATAAATCACTGAACCCTTCATCTTTCCCTCCAAAATGCCTGAAATGCTAAATCCCAACAGCCCAGCTACTCCTGACATGAACCCATGTAGTCTAAATAAAATAAAAATAACATATATCTATATTTGATCTGATTCAGTTTAAATTCATAATCATTAACTTCAACTGTGCCCTTACTACAATCCCACAATCCTACTTTTCTAGATGATTTTAGATGACTTTTTCATCATCTCCGATACTCTCACTAAGATGACTGCTTCCAGTTTCATGGAGAAAATGGAAACAACATGAAGAAATACTGAATTTTGGCCATATCCACCAATCTATTTTATTTTATACCAATATAATCTGGTAGCTCTTAGTACAGCACTAATTTCCTGTACTCAAAGTAGGATAGAGACTTGAAACAGGTATCATACAGGAACTGTTTAAAAATACAGAATTTCAGGCCTACACAAACAGAACCTGTATTTTAACAGGAACTCTAGGCTATCTACACACACACACACACACACACACACACACACACACACACAGAGGGAGAATATCAAGTCTGAGAAAATACTTCCATCTGAAACTCACCCACCTCAGCATCATCAATATTTTTCTTCTCTGCTAAATAATTTCCATTTGCATCCAAAATTAGTTTCCCCCCCTTAAAAACAAATAAATCGTCACACCCCTCTATTTCTCCATTTAAGTTCTCTCTTTCCATTTACAGTGAAATTATGAGCAGAGAGAGAAACTTCTACATTCACTGTTTCCAAGAACCATTTTCCCATTATATATTGAAGTCCACTCTAATAAGGCTTTCATCTCTATTTTATTGAAACTACTCTTGAAAGATCACCAGTGACTTCCATATTGCTAAATCTAACCAGATCTCACCTTGACCTATCCAGCAGCATCTCACAGAGCTGATCACTCCTACTCCATAAAACAGATAATCTCCTGTTTTTCTTCCTATTTCATTAACTCCTACTTGTCAGTCTGCTTTACTGATTCTTTCTTACCACAATCTTCAATCCTAAGGCTCAGATTCTGGATCTTTATCCACATTCAGTTTCCAGGTGGAGTGAATCTCCTCTATTCTCTTATCTTTAAGTGAATTCCAAAATTCATATCCTATTTGGCTTTGTCCCTTGCATACCAAAGTCATATATCCAGCTACAGACTCAAATGTTTCTTCTTGAATCTCAAACTTAACAAGTATAAAACAAAAGTCCTAATCTTTTCCCCTCAGTCTGCTTGTCCTGTAGTCTTTTCAAATGGAGCAAATATCCACTTTATTGTTCCAATTGCTCAGGACAAAATGTTTGCGATCATTTTCACTCTCTCAAGAGTATAATTCTTTCTCAGTGCTTTCACTGCTACCACCATGGTCCAAACTACTGTCTATCAGATTATTCAAATAGCCTCTACATTTCCTGGCCTACTACAACACAGCAGAGTGACTTTCTGAAAACATAAATCAAATCATGCTGCTCATCTGTTTCCAACCCTCAAATAACTTTTCAATTCCCTTGTAGTTACAGTCCAATCCCTCCAATGTCCTACAAAGCCTTATGCTCTCATAACTTCTCAACTTGCTCATGGTGCTCCATGAACACTAGCTTCCTTACTATTGCCTGGAACACATAAACTTATTTCAGTGTCCCTGCTACTCTTCTGAAATGTTCTTCCCTTGAGTATCTGTGTGACTCAAACATCTGCTGACCAGTCACCTGACAATGAAGTTTTAAATGTCCATCCAATTTACAGTAGCAGCCTACCCTTATTACTGATATCCCAAAGCAACCCCCATTCTTTCCTCCCCCCCCCCCCCGCCCAGTCTCTCTTCCCTCAGCTAAATTTCAGCTCTGTGAAGGCAAGGATTTTTTGAATAGCTGAATTCCTCAGTCCCTAAATCAATACCTTACATAAAACCAGCATTCATAGTTACTAAGTGATTTTCTGCTAATATTTGACTAAGGAACCCTTTTTATGCCACAAAAATCTATCCAGTTCTATATTTACAACGTGGGAACACTAGTCAGCACCATACCTTCTTCTGACCTGAACTGGATACTAATTACTGAGTTAGTGAAATTCGTTCCAAGTCAAAGCACATGGATATGAGTGTGAAAGAGGGGAGTAGGTAATAGTTATTTCACTACCCCTAGCTGTAAAAGATCAGTACATCTCAAAATCAAGAGAATCCTTAAGTAGATGATTCAAGCCAAGTTATTACTCTAATGTTTCCTGAGGATTCAAAAATAAATAAACAATGCTTTCCTTTTATCCAAATCCTATCCAAATGCTAGCTCCAGAAACTTAAATGACTAAAATCTATCCCTATACCTAAAATGCTATCTATTTTTACAAGATATCCTGATACAGAATAGCATCCATACAAAAGGTAAGGATGTGGTTATCTATGTAACTTTTCACAAAAAGATATAAGCCCTTTGTGATGGTGGCCTCCAATACTATGTGTGATGTGGTTTTAGTTGATGACAGATATGTAAAGCAAACTAAGACATTATCTCATGACATTAAATAACATGCAAAGCAAAATATAAAGAACAATTGCAAAAGAAAAAGAGTAAGCTAAATCTGTATCAATTCTAAAGATATCTATATATTGTTAATAGTTGAGCAAAATGTCCAATGACCTTTTCACATCCTGTAAGAGCCAATATAAGCTAGGAAAAGCATAAAATGTCTCTACCTAGAATAAATTAGTAAAGTATCTATTAGAAACTAAAGAATTAAAAAAAATACAAGCCAAGAGGCTTCAAATATGGTCCATGTACTCTGACATTATTATGACAAAAGAGCTATGTTTCACATACATCAGAGTTATTTTACAATCCAAGACTGTACGTAGCATTTCTCTGTGTTCAAGCCTTAGAGATAAGAGCAGTGACTACAGCCATGGGAAAACTATGTTCTTGATTAGTACATAAAAATATTTTCAAACAAATGAGAAAAAAATAATAAACCCAAAGACATTAAATGGCACTGGTGGCTCATGTCTGTGATCCCAGCTGCTTGGAAGGCTGAGATTGGGAGGATCACAGCTTGAGGCCAGCCCAGGCAAACAGTAAAAACCTATCTCTAAAAAATAACCAGGCCAAACATGGACTGGAAGTGTGGCTCAAGTGGTAGAGCACCTGCTTTGCCAGCAAGAAGCCCTAAGTTCAAACCCCAGTCTCACAAAAAAAGAAAGAGAAAACCATAGAAAGACTTGACTGAAAAATCATAGAGCTGGGATTGAAACACAAATATTTCAAAACCCAAACCACTGAACTCACCTCTTATTTGACTGTGCTAGCATGGTAAAGTACTAGCAGAATGTGACTCACTGATAATCTGGGTAAGCACAGTGTGGTATAATACTAGAGAATACAGGTTTTGCTGTCAAGAGGCCTGGATTTGTGCAATGGCTTTTTAATAGTCACAAGCCATGTGAACTTGAGCAAATTATTTAACTCCTCTAAAGCCTTGATTTCCTCATTTATAAAATGTGTTTAATAACAGTACCCATCCCAAACGACTGTCATGGAGATTAAACGAGACTGTCAGCTTTGCCTAGCTCAGCCCAGGGCACAGAGTACTCCCTCACACACAAACTAACAAAAAGTGTGCACTGATGGAATCCTCCAAACTCTCATACACACTCATCAAATAAACAGAAAGAAATACAGCTTTCAAGCTCTGCAAATAAACAGACATGGACTAAAACAAAAGCACTTTAAGAACACAACTATGGTAAATGCAAATCATTATAATGTAGCTTTATTTCAGAAATTTTTCCCTATACTTTGTCTCTTCATTTTCCTAGAGTCGTTTAAATAGTTTTCATTCCCACTGCTCTATGCTTGGCTCTTTTCACTCTGTATTGGTTCCTATGCAATTCCATTCATTAGCATGGTTATCACTACTATCTATAGGGTTCTGAAATTAAACAAAAAAAAAACCCTCTAGATTGGCTGCAAGGGGTTCTAAAGAGTCCTAAAACTATATACAAAATTTTGCAACTATATTATGTATGCACTTCTCGAGAGTATGTCCCTAGTTTTTATCAGATCCCCAAAGAAGCTTAGCCCACAATTTAAGATTTTTATCTGCCAGTCCTAATATGGCTCCCAAATCTATACTGCCAGTCCAGATTTTTTCCCCAAAGCCTAAAACCCCTGTATTCAACTACCTACTGCATGCGTATCTCCAAATGCACCAGACACAGATCAAATCCCTGGTTAACTCACCACCCAAACGTGCCCAAATTCTTCTCCTGTATTCTCTTACTCAGTTACAGCACGCAGAAGTGCTCCATCTTTCATTTGTTCCTTCTATGGAGGTGAGATGGGGAAAGGAGGAATACCTTAAAGGGGAACATACCCTACAAGACAAAGTTATGTTTTTCAGTGCCTTTCTACCACTGTACCAGTCACTTCCCTTACTCACATCCATCCAATTATCTTCTTTATAGCCCCTCTTCTGCTGCTTCTTTATCTGATTCTTTACATGTCCTCTGAACCCAGTTCAAGTACTATATCCTCCAAGAATTCTTCCTGACCTCCTCAAAATTAATGATTCCTCAGCTTTTCCACCATAGCTTATATCTATCCCTATACTTTATTATCATTCCATGCATTTTCTTTCCCTAGACCATGAGATTCTTAAGGAATTATGCACTTTCTTCAGTGCCACAAACAAATGTCTGTTGAATGAATACCATTTTAGTCACACTTAACCAATGA